CATAATTAAAATGTGTACATCATTGGCTTCTCTGTTCTGTGCATTCATAGTTCTGGAATACAGTGTCTGACCGCATAGCTAAGATTTATAGCTTGACTTCTAATCTATAATCCTTCCTCATCTCAAAACCACATTGCTAGATAGCTACATCTTCAAGATATTTTAGTTGGTAATGACTTCCAGTTAATTGGTAAAAGATGGCTATGTATCATCATTTACAGTAATAAAATAACAAGAGATATGTTTTCAAAATTCAAGAGATTCCATTCTTTTAAAAATATTTTAGAGCATTTACTGAAGAGTGAAAGCTAATGATTCATTTTCTGTAAAATACTACATTTCTCTACCATGCTGGAGTCATGCAGACCTCCAAGTAATTACCTGATTATGTATTCCCTTGGACACCTGTAGCAAAGTATCCAGCTTCATGTGAGAATTAAATATTGGTATGTGGTAACATTTCAATTTCACAACTGACTTCTGTCCATGGAGATCTAAGTTAGAAATCACTCTAGGTCAGGAATGAGAATCTACTTTTAATATATTTTTTGGAAAAAATAATCAGAGTTTACATCTGTTTATATACTGCCAATACTGAGAATGTCAGCTTCTATTGTGACAAGTTTCCTCTCTGAGACTCCTGCAATCTTACAAGAATCAGAGTGGCTGAGTAGTTATAATATTTTTACTTTTTTATTATTTCTAATAAACATTTTGTCTTACTCATAGCAACAATTTAATTTGGGGCCAAGATCTTCAACTGTGGGATTCTTTTGGAAAAAAACTGTTTTACTGAATGACACAACGGGGTATCTATAATCAACAACAACGAATTCTACATTTCAAAATAACTAGAGAATGAGGGCTTCAGGGCTCGGGAGATAGAAATGATAGTATTTGAGGACATGAGAATGTTAATTGTCATTATTTGACTCACATTAAATACATATATCAAATTATAATGTTATATTCCATAAGCATGTAAAAGAATTAAATAAAATGTTTAAGTGGTTCTACTAGAAATAAAAAGAAAGTTGGATACATATATTTAAAATTTTAATTTCATGATAAGGTCTTGAGATAATAAAAAATTAAATTTATCATTACAAGGAATTTTGTTTTAACATTTCTGTTTCCTAAACAAGACAGAAGCATGGAAAACAACAATAGAGTGGAGTTTAGGGAGGAAAAAAGCACTATAAGGTAAGCTATACAATACAAATTATTTTATTGACTTCTGACCCCAGAGTCAAATGCTTTAAATGTTTTCTTTTGTGACCAGCAAATGTTTTAGTTTAAACAGCTGCTTTAGCCAGATGCTGGTGGCTAATACTTGGAATTCTAGATACTCAAGAAGCTGAGATGTGAAGATTGCAGTTCAAAAACAGCCCATGCAGGAAAGTCCATGAGACTCTTATCTCCACTTAACCATCAAAAAGCTGGAAGTAGAGAAGTTAAGAGAAGGTGTCTGGGCTGAGTTCAAAGCCCAGCGCTGCCATACAAAAACAAACAGCTCTATCCTACTAGAGACCTGAAGATGATAGTAGATGGTTTTTTGCAATATAGTTTAAACATCAGGGAAGATCTTTGGGACCATGTGCAGGTCCTGCACATAGAGTCCTGCACCTCTATTAAGAGGTAAGAGGGCTTTCCCCATGATCTCTTAATTGTTTCTAATTCAATTATAATATCACATAGAGACTTTCCTTTCAATACCACACACCCCTGTAAGCTCAGCTACTCAGGAGGCAGAGATCCAGAAGGAGGATTAAAATTCAAGGCCAGCCTTGAGAATAAGTTATTGAGCCTTCCATCTCAACCACAAGTTGCATGTGGTGATTTAGGTTTATAATCACAACTATATGGCAAGTATGAAAGTAAGAAAATGACAGTTTTAGGCTAGCCCTCAAAACCCAAGGCCTTAGCTGAAAAGTAACTAAGCAAAAAAGGTCTGGGGTTTTGGTTCAAGTAGTAGAGTATTTTCCTAGCAAGTGCAAAGTCCTAAAATCAGACACCAAAACAAGTAAACAGAAAAAAATTGATTTGTCTTTTTAGTCACTGCTATGAAAGATTTTATACTATAATTGTCCTCATCCATTCTTTGTTACACGTGGCTGTATTTTGGGATCCTTAGCTGTGCTGAGACAATATCTTATTATCCTCTCAAAAAGAAGGAAGCTGTTACTAAGAACACTGAAACTCCTTTTCTTCTGACATCACTACTTACAACACCGTATGTATCCTGCTATGATCGTTACAGTAATGTTCACAGAAATTCCTGCAACTCACTCAATGAAGTAGACTTCGCCCTTCTCTGTGTAGGCCATTTCCCAGTTGTCAGGCAACGGATCTGAGTCCTCATGCTCCTCGGGTTTTGCTGGCTTTGTTTCATCCATCTGCTCCTTCAGCTCCTCGGGCTGACTATACACGGGTGCAGGATAAGGCTGGGAGGGCATCTCCCCTGAGGCACCTGCACTCTTGTCTTCATGCTCGCTGGACTCTGTAAGGACAAGAGCATGTGGTCAGTCACTCCAGTCCCAGCACCTCTGGAAGGAGGGGGAAACAGGCAGACCCAGGTAATAAGTGCCGGGAAGCTAGCTAGTAGGAAAGGCTTTGGAAAACACATAATTATAAACAGCTCTGAAACTTGTAACTTGGCCAATTTAAAATCTTCTCTCACTTGACGTTCTTGTCTATCATTCCTCTAATTATTGTTGTTTACTGAATTAGAGATTTGAAGGTTAAAATGTTAAGGACCATTTCTGCACACAGGTATGATAGGCATCCTAAAGATGTTATATCTCAACGCCTAAACATGGAAATGTTATCTCTCATGGCTAAACAGGATTTGCAAATGTGAGTAAATTGAGAAACCTGAGGTGTGTGTTATTTGTGTATGTAGTGATGTATCCAGACTTGAAAACTCAGAGCTTCATACTCTTACTTTTTCATTTTTCTTTTGTTTTTGCTCAAGGTTAGTGCTTGAACCACAGCCTCTACTTCTGACTTTTTATTGGTTAATTGGAGGTAAGAGTCTTTTGGATTTTCCTTCCTGGGCTGGCTTTGAACCAAGATCCTCAGATCTCAGTCTTCTGAGTGGCTAGAATTACAGGTGTGAGCCACCTGGCTGGGGAATTTTTTTTAATTATCTCAGTGGGCTTGTTATAATCACAAAGGTTCCTAAAAGTAGAAGAGAAAGCAGGGAACAAGAATGAGGAAATGCGATGATGCGATTATTACCAGGACCGCGGTGCAGGACCACAAGTCAGAAACATGGTAGCCTCTAGCCATGGGACAAGGTGAAGAAATGGCTTCTTCCCATTTTGGTTTGAGACTCCAGAAGAAACACAGCCCTGCCAATACTTTGCGTGGAGTCCACTGAGACCCAGATTCGATTTATAACATGAAGAACTATAACCTAATACATTTGGATTGTTTCAAGCCATTAAATTTGTGGCTATTGGCCATACCAACAACCAAAAAAAAACCCCAAAACTGATAGAACTAGAGGACTGATGCCTCAGGAGAAATGATAGCAAGGCTGGACAGATCCAGGAAAGAATAGGTAGTTTGAGTTATAAGATGGTGAAAAGAAACCTATGAGAAAAAACAATGAATGGAGGAAAATTTACCTAAAATGAAGCACTTGAGTTTGTATTGAGCTTGAGGCCAGATTAACAAAAGTTGCAGACCAATGTAGTTGAAATTTAGATACTATGATGTTAAAAAGTAATATTTGTAGCTTCTACAACGAAGAAACACAATTATTTACAGAGAAAAAGGAACCAAAGAATGAAGAACTTCCATCTATAATATTCTAAGCTCAAAGACAGAATGTACAATCAACATAATCTTGAATGAAACAAGGATGGTAACCCAAGAATGGAACACGGCTAATAAATAATTTGTTTGTGCAGGCAAAGAAAGACACTTTTAACATGCAAAGTTCTTAATATTATGTCCTATCTAAGGACAGCACTTCGGGAATTATTCTGCCCATTTCATGATAACCATAACATGAAGAACTAAGAGCATAGTTATCAAAATAAGGGGATAAAATAACACATATACTACATATACACTGTTTCAAATATATCTCCTAAAAATAAAAGCATTATAATATATAAGGACGCCTATGTAATAATATTTACTGCAGTTTTATCACCATAACCATTGGAAATTATATGAGTGCCTTTTAATTAGAATGAAGAGGTCAATTGTGCTTATCATCACTATGGTTAAATGATAGAGATATAACAATAGATCCACAGATCTCTAAATGTCAGAAAGGCATTTATAACTATTACTAAAGAGTAATATAATTTTCAGAATAATGTATGCTATTAATCCTATTTTTTATAAATAAGAAAACACATGGTTTCTTAGGTATATATTTATAGTTTTGTATATATATATATGTATATAATTTTTCATGTATCTATACACCAGGATAATAGTTTTGAAGTATGTACAACATATTTTCTTTTTGTTTTTATTTTATTTTTGTATTGAAAAGGTGATGAGCTGGGTTTACAGTTACCTGGTAAGGCAAAAAATACATTTCTTTGTAATCATTGTTACCCCATCCCTCTTCATCTCCCATTTATCCCTCCCTCTCTCCCCCCAAGTTGTAATGTTCATGTCCAACATAGTGTCAAGTGAGTCAATGTTGCTGTGGTTCATCCATTGTTCTGCTGTTTCTGTAATTCTTTTTCCCTTTTCACATATTGCATCGTCTATTATGCAAAACACAAAAAACTAGAGCAATAAATAAAGAAAAAAAAACAAAAATAGAGAAAAAAGAACAAACTATATACAGGGTCTAATGATAACCTCTTGTTTCCATAAGTTGTTCCATAAGTTGCACTAAGCACTTGGGTTGTTGCGATCCCCTGTTAAGAATATCATATTCATATTCTAGTTATTACAAATGAAGGAAATCATATGATCTGCTTTTCTTTGGGTCTGGCTTACTTCACTTAATATAATTTTTTCTAAGTCTTTCCTTATGAATGGGACAATGCTATTCTTTCTGATGGAAGCATAGAATTCCATTGTGTATATATACCACATTTTCTTGATCCATTCATCTACTGAGGGGCATTTGGGTTGGCTCCATATCTTAGCTATGGTAAATAATGCTGGAATGAACATTGTCATACTGGTGGCTTTAGTGTGGCCTTGTTTGTGGTCATTTGGATAAATTCCCAGAAGTGGGATTGCTGGGTCAAAGGGTAGCTCTATGTGTAGGTTTTGAGGAACCTTCACATTGCTTTCCAGAGAGGTTGAACAAGTTTGCACTCCCAGCAACAGGGTAGTAGCATTCCCCTTTGATTATATCCCTTCCAGCATCTGTTGTTGTTAGATTTCTTGATTATGGCCATTCTAACTGGTGTAAGGTGAAATCTCAATGTTGTTTTTATTTGCACTTCTTTTATAGCCAGAGATGGTACAACAGATTTTCAACTTCGGTATGTCAAGACAATAAAGTTACATTGGTGATGAGAGACATTTTTCTTGTCTTTTAATTCATTGACTATTATATTTATAACCTCAGAAATTATAACAATAGCTTAAATTAGAAACTTAAAATGGAATATCTTTATGAGGAAGGAGGCAACATGGGAAGGTACCATTGTTCTCTTTACATTCAATTTTCTGTGGCTTATTACATTATATCTCATATAATACATAAATACAAATATTATATATATAAATGTAACTATGTGGGTCATCTGAACACCATGTTGCATTGAAAAGATAAAATGCAAAGTCAGGCTGTGAACACATTCACTTATTTTACATTCATTTAATCACTATTTGCTGAGCATCTCATTTATGCCAGATACTGAGACAGCAGGATGAACAAGGTAATGTACATTTTCATACAATTTTAATTGTGATAAGCGCTAACTGAAAGCAAAAATGGGTTCTCACACACAATCATTCCCTTAGTTTCATATAGCCAAAAAAAGCCTCTTTTCCAATGTGCTATCAATCAGAGACTTCTTTTAGAAAGAGATATAGAAATAGATAAGAGATGGATTAGGCAGGTACTAATTTATTAGGGCTCTGTACCTAAAGAACATCCAGAGGTATTGGTAAGTCTCCCTCAAGAGAATGATAAAATTAGATCATTCATCTGCAAAGGTTCCCTTCAATTCTAGGGATTGGAAGATGGAAGGAGTAGGTGTTTACAGACCAGTGGTAAGCTATTTTTGTGCATCAGACAAGAGACAGTTGTCATGGAGATGGATAAGAGTAGATTGACAAAATGTTTAGTCTAGAATTTTGTGTGATTTCACAAAAGTGAGACAAATAAGGATAAAGGAGAAGGCCTGATAATGCTAATGCATGGTGAAGCCACTCCTGGGAAAGGAGAACAGTAGGAAGACAGGGCTCTGTGGGCGAAGGAAGAATGTGGGTATCATTTGAACACACTAACTTGGAGCCCATGCCAAACCCACAGTGGAGACATCAAGTCAGGGAGTTCTTGTCTGGAGAAGATCACCTTGCAAGACCATAGCAGATGACTGGATTAGAGGATTGTTTAAGCCATAAGCAATTGAAAATGCCAAGAGAGATTGTGAGAAATGGAAACTCCCAACATTTCCCAGTGAATGACAGAAGGACATGAAGATGGCAGCCATGGAAATAATAGGACAACCAAGCAAAGGGCGCTGTGGAGGAAACAAACTTGTGAGCAGACCCATGAGGTTCAGACATAACTTCTATAGTAATCAACAACTCAGTGGTCACTGCCAACATTAGCCAGGAGTTATGATGGAATTTATGATGGCGTAAGGGGGGAAGAAACCAGATTAGAATGGGTTACAGTACAAGGAAAGAAAATACAAAGTTGAATGTTACTGTCACAACTGTAAGGTTAGCTACTTTACAGTCTAAGATCTGGAGGATCTTGATTCCAGGCCAGCCTAGGCAGAAAAGTCCTTGTGATTTCATCCCAACAAAGGAAGCTGTGTGTGGTTGCACATGCCACATTGTTCACATCAGTAATGATGGGAAGCCTGAAACATTTCTGGACAGAGAGTAAAGACCTATCAGGCCCAGAGTTCAAGTCCCAAAACCAAAACCACAAAAATAATCAGCTCACAAATGGTTGGAGATGTAGCTCAGTAGTAACATACCTGTTTAGCAAGTGTGAGGCCCTGAGTTCAAACCCCCAACTGCCATAAATATAATACATGCACATGAAATATATTGTCTATTATGATAGTGAATACTGTATATAATGTAATGCAAAAAATATTACATATCTAATGGAGAATTCATTTAAGATTAGTTATGGAAAATTTTCCTACCATAGATGATGTTAAGCGAAATGAACAGTGAAAGCAGGGCTTGCTTATACCCTGGGGGAGGGACATACAAAGCAACAAAGAAATCATCTTATAAATATGTTGGAAAGAATTGCAAAAAAGAAAAAAAAACATTTGAATCCTTATCTTGGGGTTCATTTCACCTAACATCAACTTGTCT